TAATTTACCTGCATGTAGCCATTCCACGATGGCCGAGGTGTCAGATATGGTTTCACGGTGTAGCTCGACATCCACATGTAATCGAGGCGAAGGGCGAGTTCCCACGTTACAGAGCGTTTCAAATATGCAAGTTCTCTTACAGTAACACTCTTGAGACCGGGAGTAGCTGGCTTGCAGTAATGCACAATTTTCATGCGCCCGGATGTCAGTTCTTGCACACCCTTGTTCTGCCGCAGTCTAGGAATTGAGTATGGCAAACTTGAACTAGCCGCAGGAGTAGTGGCCCTGTTACAAAAAAAATTATGACAGTGAATTTCATTTTTTTTTTTTTAAGAAATATCAACTAAAATTTGACTTACCTAATGGCACCCATGTTGTGAAGTGTGTTGTAGCCGTCGATAGTTCTCACATTATAGTCAGCATTGTCAAAAACAAACTGCTGGAATGCACCAAAATTTGCATCTTGTGGAGGTAGCCCAGCGGTTGCAGCAGAAAGTAGAAATATTTGGACCTCGCCATAGCTTGCACTGTACCCTAGACTATGCAGAATGTCAATAACAAGTCTGGAACCAATGTGGCGATGAATGTACACGCCTATTGCCAGCAGTATGGGAGAAATAAATGACCGAGGCCGGCATGCTTGCATAATAGCCTGCGCTAAGGCCTCTACTGTGCGCTGTGCTTGGTTTGACTTGTGCTTGATAAGTTCTGTGAGGAAAGTTCGGAGCAAGTCGGGCACTAAATATTCTTCATTCATTTCAGCCCCACAAAAATAACTCTCCATGTCAAACGCCTTCGAACGTATTTCCTCTCGCAAAATTTTGGCAGCTTGCTTGACAACCTGGCAGCGCATATCTTCAGGAGGTTTTCTCTCTTCGGCCCATTTTTGATAAATAAAATTATCAGCATGGCCTTTAAAGCAGAAAACGCTATGTTTTCCGGGAAAGCTTGTTACATGTCCTGAACTGCCATAATGTGACTTCAATCTATCTTTCAAAGAACGTACATCATAAACTTCTTCACCTGAAAAGAAAAGGAATTCGATTAAGACAGTGTCAGAAACTCAACAGCATGAATGATCCCAGTGATAAATATTTGCGACGATATCGTTTCGACGTCGGTATTCGCACGTCGTTGGCGATACAAAAGTGGGATTAAAACTGACGGTTTTTCGACAAACGATGTCGTGTCGACGTCGTTTTGATGTCGTTTCGATGTCAACTGTCCAAAACCCGACTTCAAAACGATATCGTCACCACCTGGTCGTAGGCAACCCGAGGGAAACATACCTGCAATCTCGTCTAGTCGTTTTGCGAGATCAGAGACAGAAAACTGACACTCATCATCCTTCTCAAGCTCTGCACATAGGGTCTCAAACGCCGCGTCCTTTTTTGTGTCCCTTGGGCGGCCTCTTTTCGGAGTAACAAAATCAGTGCGATGCAAGAAAAAATCCACTTGACAGTCTGCGTGGTACTTGCACTTTGCTGATTTAATATCCAGGACAGAATTCAGTCTTCCATGAACAATTGTGCCCTTGTCATCGTTTCGTTCAATGGCTCTCTTTACAAAACTCTGCTTCGATTCATCAGTCCGAACACAGTGAATGACTCTTCGAAGTTTCAGAGGCAGTTTTGAACCGGTGGATTCATTGGCATCTTGACCACAAATAAAACAGTGTCTTTCAAAGTCAAAAAGAGGCTCGGACGACCGACGCTTAATCGGTGTTACATTCTCCTTGTTCGCTAAATTTTTCTGTAAAAGTAACGGTGTCCATGACACGCAATGCCTAACTCATCACTGTAAGATAATGGAAACGTTTTGAGACTTACCAAGTCGATGTGGTGAGTGTACTTATTCCGACAAGCAACGTGCACTTCCAGTTGAGACAGATCACAGATTCTTTTAGCCAAACCATCATTCTTCACATGTTGACTCACAAGCACAATTGTCCGCAAACCTTCTTTCACTATCACAGTCTTCTTATTCTTTAAACTAGAACCATCACAGAGAATACAGCGCTCCATGTTTACAAACAAAACTCAGCTGATCCGCCGCCTACTAGCCGTGACGCGTCAGCAGCCGAGAAGCTGTATTGTTGCCTGCGCGCTGGGTGCTTTTTCGGTGGAGGGGGTACGCTCGTTGGCGCGCGGCGCGCCCAGCAGCGGCCGCAAGCCCGGTGGAGGGGGGCGGCCAGCCTGCAGGCGCAGCGCGTGGCGGCACCGGCGCGCCAGGCCAGTGCAGCGCCCCGCGCGGCGAGGGCGGGAACTAGCCCAGGCATCGTCTGCTATTGATGCCGCGCGGGAAATTTCAAAATCATTACGGCTACACCGTCCGTCACTCGCCCACACTCGTCGATTGCAAAATCTTTCTTAACTATTGGTTTCCAGCGAAAATCACCAAAATATTTGACAGCACTATGGTGAAAATTGTTAGTAAACTATTCCGTATCACCAAACAACTAGTGGGACTTAAAAAAGTACTTCTGGGACCCTCCGCTGAAAATCAAGATCAAAATTACAGTAAAATAGCCAAAATATCGCTTTTTTGACTTTTGACAGCTCTAGAAAATTTTCCAATTCTGGGATTGGTCTGGAACATTTTTTTTCTTGAAGAGCATGAAATTCTGAACAAATAATGTCATTTCCGCGACTACCTCATTTTTTCCCAGGTTGCCCTGATTTTTTAGCTAATATTCCTGGACTAGTAGAGCAGGGCGGCGCAGTCGGTACCGCTCACATGCGTCGATCACGGCGTTGATGGCTCGATCGTAGGTGTCTTGGGTCTTGTTGGGGAGTAGAGCATAAACTAATGGAAGTGTCTCATTATGGTACTCTCCATGCATAGTCAGAATTTGTGCAAAAATTTCTGGAGAGGTGTCGAAAGTGCCATCTAGGTGCCACACACTTGACGCTGCAAGTTTCCGAAGCTGATCTTTGGATGCAAAAATCAAAATTCGGTTCTGCCGCCTTCTTCTGTCCCGTTCTTCTACGTCTTCGTCTTCGTCGTCCTCGTCGTCCTCGTCGAAGTAGGAGTCGAAGATCAGGAACTGCTTTCTTCCGCGAGTGATGGTGTAGTCGGCAGGTATTTTGCCGAGGTCTTCCAAACTCTTGGGGTTTACTGGCAAATTCGCAGCAGCATTGCGGAGGCGATTGAAGGTCCTCTTCATCGAACGCCGCTCAGGGAGATGAAATAGAGCACCTGCGGGATCTGAAGATACGGAAAATACAGATTACAACAATGTCGGCCAGTCGTAGCAAACGCGAGCGGTATACGTCTTACCTCAGGCATCCCCTCGCGTAGTATCTGAGCAGGGGGAGCATTTGGATGTTCTGCAGCTTTCCGCTTCAGCTGATTGTAGGCGCCAACAGCCTCGGCCTCCTCGGGAGCGGGAAGATATGAAGGGCGATCCACAAACTTGAAAATATCTACGGTGTCCGAATTTTCTGCATGGCAAAATAATATAAGTTAATACTTCTGAATGACCAATTTTGAACTGTGTGGACTCTTGTACGTCTAGCGTTCACTCACCTTGGGGGCTGCTGGTGATTGCTCTTTTCTTGCACGCAGGTTTTTTGCGGCAAATCCAATAAGTACGGCTTCCATCTTTGTTCTCACCGTGCTTATTATACAAGTAACCATTATATGATAGGATGTATCCTCCACGTTCACTCCGGAGTAATTTTCCTTGTTCACCCATGCCCGCGAAGTCCGCGTGTAAGTGTGATGTGTTTCCCCGGAGCGCCAGGCTATTGTTGATGCTCGGGCATACTCCGCTACATGGCTGTTGATACTCCTCGGCTATAAAGAATTTCGAATACGTCGATACTCCGCGCTAGTGTTGGCTTTAAAATTTTAAAAAAGGGTTGGGTGAATACATGGGTTCGAATTTTCTCAGGGTGAATTGATTGGGTTCAAATTTTCCGAGGGTGAATGGACGTGGGTTCGGATTTGGAGGGGGTGAATTGTCGTGTAATCCAGAAAATTGGCCGCAACACTTTTCTGTAGGTGCAGACTGAGAAAAGCCGCAGAGGCCTGCTGTCGCAAAAGTGGTCGCTTTCAGGGCGAACGGAAGACCACGGAGCTGACCGTCCCGTCTGACGGGGAGTCACTGGGAATCAAGTATTTCTAGAATCATGTGTACACATCAAAAGGGAGTTATTGCCCCCTCGGCTGTTAAAAAACAACATTGAGAAAAATCCCGAAAACTAAGTTTCTTAACCAAAAACAGTCAGTTTTGTTTTGCTCCTGGAAAAAACAGTTGTAATATTACGAGTATGTTGTTTTTTGAACGAAATGTGTTGTTAACAAAATTAACCACTGTTTTCTTGCACATTTACAGCTAAGTAATACCAAGTACTTTCTGTTCTGGGCCAATATAAGCCAAATATCGCAAGTTTCGCGAGGGATGAAATGAAAACAACATTTGTCGTTAATTAACAGCTGCATCGTATCAAAAATGCTTGTTTTTAACAACTCTTTTTTACAATGAAGGACGACAAGTCCATCGAGGGCATCGTCAGGGCGACGGACTCTCAGGATTCTACACAAAATCAGAGTAGTGGGTTGCCAGAAGAACGGAAGTGTCTTAGCACTGCAGTGGGGGTGTGGGGGTGGCCTGAGTGGCCTAAGCACCCACGTTCTCCATCTGTACACTGCTTGAGCGACGCGTTCGTGCAACAATATCTTATCCCTTTCGCTGTCCCTATCTGTTCGCTGCCCCGAAAGACTAGAATATCTGTTTTCGGCGCTCTCTTCTTTTCATTGTGAAAAAAGTAAAAATGGCCACGTGATCCTCATAGATCAAGGAACAAATAGCAATTTTTACTTTTACTTCCACTGTCAATATTAGCAGACCCACAATGAAAAGAAGACAGCGCTGCAGAGAGCGCCGAAAAACAGAGAGGCCAGTCTTTCGGGGCAGCGAAACAGATAGGTTATTGTTGCAGGGCCGCGTCGTAAGTGATCTGATTCCACCTAATGATTATTTTCTGTGCCGTCAGATAGCCATAGTGGCCTACAAGTGTCGTGATGGCGTTTCAGCAAATACATGCGAATATTTTACAAGATTCACCAACAATGGAGACGGCTGTCGCCTTATAAGCTCATCAATTGTGCCCTGGGCTAGCTTGTTGGGCAGGTCCCAGCCTCCAATTAAGTGTCCGTTACAAACCGTAAGTTTAAAAGTGCTTTTTTTTTTTTTTTTTTTTTTTTTTTTTTTTTTTATCAAACTCGTTTCTACCAGACACTGCGGCGCAGGGGGGAAGCGGGAGATCGTTCAACACCACCTGTTGCATTTTGAGCCGCGTCTGGGTAACAACCCGCGTAGTCCACTCCACGCGCGCGTGCCGCCCTCGTGAAAAATAGTGTAAAATTATGTGTGGATTTTCACGCTAGGCGAGATTTTCACGCTTCGTAAACTTCACGCAGCCAATCAGGAATCGAATTCCATCGCGCAGAGTGAAAATCCGGCCTAGTGTGAGAATCACGCGGAAAACTAGGTGTCCTTAGATTACGCGCCGCCCACGCGAAAAATTTTGTGCAGTTCTAAAATAGGAAGTACATTATGCAAAAAGACACGTAAACAATTTAAAGAATGCTTTGCGTGCCTTTAAAGTTCCTAAAACACCTATAGCGACCGAGGGGTCTCCAACTCACCTCAGCAGTGTACGGAGTATTATGGTATTATGCGGTATTATGGCACGTTTTAAGATATTTTATGTCATATTATTTGATATTATGAAGTATTGTATAGTATTATGAGGTATTCTACGGTATTATGGGGGTATTTTGCGACATATTATGGAGTATTATGAAGTATTATAAAGGTATTATGCGACCCGTGTACGGAGTATTATGCGAGTTGGAGACCCCTCGATAGCGACTAAAATTCCCCAACCATGGGTTCGTTTCGCAGTTAACAAGAATTGTTAACGTTTTTTTACGAGATAAAAGAGAGTACAGTCCCTTTCGTTTCAGGGGAAAAGATGAAAAGATAAAAACTGCGAATTAAATGTGAGAAATTTGATTTTGACCGACCAGTTTTGCGCAAGGAGCAACCTTCAGGTTAATGTTGAACAATCAGGCCCGCCCTTCCCCCACCAAATTTGGTGCACAGCTTCTTCTAAGGTCCGTTTAGATTATCTCATTTTTGTTGAAAGGTAATATTCAGAACAGTTTAAAATATTCTTTCACTAGATTTTAATGTTAAATACTCAATTTTTTTCATTTTATTTTTAAATGTTACATTCAGTGGTAAATCAAAGCAGCTCAGTCGTGCATTTCCTGGGGCACTAAACACATTTTCAATTTGACCCCTTTCAAAGGCACTACAACGCGCACTAAACAGCCCAAAAGGTGCTAAAATTTAGTGTCTTTGGCAGTTTTAGTGCCTTTGTTAAGGCACTAAACGCTTAGTGCCTTTTAAAGGTAGGAGTTAGAACCTTTGTTTTTCCAGTGTTCCCACAAAAATGAGAGAATGTTAGTAGACGTTAGAAGAAGCTGTCAACCAAATTTGGTGACAATTCGAGACCGTCTATGTTTGCAACGAGAGTTAGATTTTGTTGATATCTTTGATCAAAATGTAGAAAGCATTAAGAACCTTTCTGATACAAACAATTCCTTGGTACTACGAAGGGCTCGGCTTTGTAATGCGAAGAGCATGCATTTGTTCACAAACTGGCGCTCTTTGTTATACGAAGACAGTTCGTTTGTAATATGGTTGTTCCAGATCCTTTGTACGTTACAAGCCCAATAGGTTATTTCACTCAGTTTAAAACGGATCTAAAGAAGAACAGTAATGCTTCCAGAACTGTTTCCTACCTGACGCTCATTGGCTGACACGAACTAAGTTCTCAGACCCGTCAATAGGGCCCTCGCAGACCTGGTGGCGGGTCCGCCAACTTCGTCCGCATCAGCTAAAGGGCGTCAGAGAGGAGACAGTTTAAGAAGCATTTTTAGGAAGCATTACTGTGCTTCTTTGGACCCGGGGTAAACTGGGTGAAATACCCGATCCTTCGTAATATGAAGGCCTCCCTTTGTAAGGAACTAAGACTGTTAAAATTGACAGTTACTAGAGATTTAATCGAAGTCATTCACGTCGAACTGCACTGTCAAATGACAAAAATAAGCGCACTTTAGTACTGGTTCCGGTCCCGACTTCTTCATTTCTTCTCAAAAAGTGCACTGTCGAAACGGTCCATTAATTTCTTCGGTTTTAGGGCCCTTAATAAATATGTTACCTGTTATTTGAAAATCACCTCAGAAGACCGTCAGAAGGCGGATTGTCGGTATCCCCGTCCCTTTTGGCAGGTCGTGGGGAAGGCTGATCGCCGAAACAGGGCACCTATTCTTTTGTCGTTGGACTCTGCTCTACGCTGCCGTCACCTAACACAGATTTAAGTGACAATTAGTTGAAATGAACTCTTGCCCTTGTTCGCAGGGATGGTATGTAATAACCAACGGAACAATTGACGTCGATGCCTATGCTCGGATGTATGGCGTGTCGACCAACAATGATGTGTGGAAGATCACTATATCGATAAAGGACGAAAAGCATTCCCCATTCGTTTGCGTAGACGCTGCAGTCCGAATTATGAAGTACGCAAGCAGAGGGTGATCTAAACCTCCAATGGTGGCCGACGACGCCCCCAGGAATCGTCGGATGAGCTTGTGGATACCAAAAATGCATTTGAGTGACCCTTGAAACATGTACTGCTGCAAAATCTTATAAGTTTAGGTCCTCTACTCTTAGACCGACAGGAGTACTTCCTGCGGAATAATTGCATTTGCTCCACTGTGCAATGGGATAGTTGCGAGGGGTAGCTCTAGCTCACTCATGAATTGAGTCCACAAATTAAATTAATTAAATTTAAATTTGGCTAGAATAGGGTATTTCAATGGAGGGCTGCCCAGAACTAAGAACCAAAAAAGTGGATCCAGAGAGCGGTGGTG